ATGTTGCCCACTAAACGTGTGACGCAATGATGATAAGAAAGAAGAGGGTGGAAAAATAGCGAGTAACCGCAGTCTAGTGGATGATGTAACTAACGAGTCAAGCGTTATGCATTTGCAGACTAAGCACTCACTGTCATATACGAGAATTGAAACTGCGAACACCGACCTGGTAATCGATGCACTTATCTAAAATAAATATTTAAAGATTCGTATATATTCGACAACAGCAGTTACTCACTCGTCTCTAAAAAAAAAAATTAAAAAATTAAAATTTTCTTGTGGCCATGTATATATCAATTTTTTGCTAAAACAATTCTGGTCACCCTATTTGAAGACAATATATTGGATATGTATTTACGTCAGCAACAAGTGTCTGTTGCTGTATGATATCATGGCTGATTGAGAATGAAGTTGACACATTTGCATTGCGGACTAATAAAATTTTCATGTTTTTTAGCACTGCTGCATACACACTTATATAAATGGAAGTATATCATGTATGTATGCTTGTTGCTGAATAACTTTTTCATAAATTTTTAAATACTAAAGTGCCGAAGCACCACCATATATATCCTATTCTATACATATATACATATATATATATATATATATATATATATATAAAATATATGGTTATATGCTACCTAGACAACGCGTGATAGGCAAGTACATGATAAAAATACCCTATACGCCTCTATTTTTCCCCTAGCCCCCCCCCTTGCTTTATCCAACATTAGGAAGGAAAAAAAATTAAAAAATTATGTAAAATATTTTTTAAACGAGAGAAAATTGTGGTAAAGTTATGACTGTTTTCATTTTTATTGACGATAAATAGATACTTGTGCATATTTGCATATCCAGTTGTGTGTGTAATCGTAAAACTTCTTCTTGCTCTTTTGTTCTAAGTCTCTACTCATTTTGATATATCACTTTTGCGAACATAAATGGCATGTATGTGTAAGTAAATATGCATGTATGGCGTAATGTTATCTCCTTTCTTTCCCCCCCTTATGCAAACACATATAAATACTTCACATATTTATTATGTAGGAACACATCAAACTCGTTTCATCATATAATAAGTTTAGTAGATGCAAAGAATATTTTATCCATTCACACATAAAAGTATGCAAACAAGCATACAAACATGTGAATATATGTTATATGTTTATATCGGTATATTTATATGAATGTCCATGTGTTACAACATCCAATGATAATAACATAAGATACGCATTGTATGTATATATATATATATATTTATATATATACACATAAAACAAGAGCAATAACGAAACGCAAAAAAAAAAAAAAAAAAAAAAACGATTGACTTTATTATAAAAACAAGTCTAAAAGCAGGTTGTTACTCCATCGTTTATTGTTGACATTAAATGTTGCAAATAACACGTAACGTATTAACGAATGTATGAAAATTTTTATGTAAAAAAAAGGAAAACAAATTTTTGTTGTTTTTTTTGTTTTTTTTTTTTTAATAAATTTATATATTTATATGCACATGATATGAAATACATATGTAACACATCAATATCGCTGCTGGCCGAAAGCATGAAAATGTGTGCATTCATGAATCATTTTTGTGATGGGATTTTTAACGGTTTCCCATTTTTTATACGCTATGGCGTCACATGTAAAAGAAGAAAAAAAAAAGAGAAAAAAGGGCAAATGTGTGAAAGTAAATTAAAGTGCTTCATTTCCTACATGAAAATTGACTTTTTATCATGTTTTTTATTTTCATTTATTTATATTATTATTATTTTTTTTTTGTTTTGTTTTGTTTTTTCATTGTTGTACCGGAGGAGGACTTTGTCACTTTACCATTGTACTTGACATTATCGAAAGGAGAACAGAGAGCAGTAGGGAGGAGAAGGAACTGACTGAAATATTTGAAACATCTTATATATCATCAGATAATTACAACTATAATAATAAAAAAAAACAAAATAAAAAAAAAAACTAGAAATATGTTCAATGCACTGAAGTTAAATAGTCACATAATGTTAGGTAAGTAGCGTTTTATAATAAAACTATATAGCGTTGAACTTTAACAATGCAAACCTGATAAAGCAAAACTTGGTCCTTTTTTTTGTGTTTTAAGTAACTCTTTAGTCTACCCAATTAGAGCAATCTTGCGAAAACAAGGCCTTAAATACTTCGACTCAACTCGTAGACTCTACTATGCTTATTATAAATTTATATAAATTACATAACGGATGATATATTTGGTCGAAAAAAACAAAAATTGACAAATGTCGAAATGTAAATTCACCCGAGCATTTTCACATATATAAAATTGCATTTGTACGAGTATGTTTCGCAATCATTCATATTCAACTTGGGCTAGGTTTGCCATTGCACGAGTATAATATGTATATGGGTGCGAGTGCATGCATAAATTTATTATATCACTCTTGTAGCATATTACAGGGATGATGAGGTATTTTAAGTCGATTAAAAAAGAATCTCTCTACTAAAATGTTTCTGACATACTTTATTTTCAAGTATGCAAGTAAGTAAAATTCAATTTCAGTTTCCTTCTTGCTTAACTTAAAACCTTTTCGGCATAATACCTTGCCTGCTATACATACATAGAGGACATAGCATAAATGGGTTACCTATTAAATTATCTCTACTTTTATTTAAGCAAAATTATCATTTAAAAAAATGCTAGTTCGGATCAGTTGATGTCTTTGAAGTTATCAAACAACGGGCGGCTCGATTAATTTCGACTGTCGATGGAGGAAAGCAAACTTTCAATTTCGCTTTAAATGTGGTAACGAGGGAAAAAAATCGGACGTAGGAACTTGGACTTTAGATAAAACATTATATAGGATGTAAATCTTTTTTTTTTTTTAATTTATTTATTTATTTTTTTTTTTTTAAATAATTTTATATACATATTGGGCTACAAACCATTAATTTAATTTAAACAGAAATCAAATATTTGTTAATTCTCTCCTTAAAATGAATGGAACAATAAGATGCGCACATACACATGCCCGTGCATCTGCCTATATATATTTATTGTCTATGAATGCTGTCTACCTACACTCGTTTGTATTGTTACTAAATTGATACCATTGTTTAAATATTTGCCGACATAATTAAGTTAATTCATTTGTATTTCAACCTGAATGCTAAAAATTTTAAATAAACTCAAGTCCAGGCAACAGATTCTCGAACAGTGACGGATCAAGCTTTCTTAAAGTGAAAGGGGTCATAAAATATTGAATGTTTCCTTTTTTCTCACAATATACATACATAAGTCATCATTCTATGTATATAATTATTAATTTTTCTTTTTTTTTTTTTTGTATAAACGTAATAGGATTTAATAAAAAATTTATATACATTTTTTTATATAATTATTCTTATGTATATAATTTTTTATAATTTAATTAAGAACTCGGTGGTCCATTGTTATCCTTTGTTAATGATTACAATTTATCTCAGGAATGTAATCTGACACAGCTCAATAACGTCAGCGTTTACAAAGCGTACGCCATATAAAAATCATATCATAAACGAGAATATTCATCAGCTTTTTCAAGGGCATTTCTGAAATAATCTCCACTGCAAGATAGCGTATATATGTCAGCTTGTTACTTAAGAAAAAATTCTTTTTTAATTGTCGAAAAAATTACAACAAAACGAATCATAGGAAAATTTGAGAATGAAAATTTTATAAAACCCCATTCCCCCATATTTCTAAGGCTCTTTTTACTTAAATGCCAAAAAAATTTTGTTTGAAAATTTTTTGTATACCTTTATAGTTGTTTGAGTCCTATAAGCGTAGTTAATTAGATTAAAAATTATTCTAAGAAAATTCTTTGAAAAAAATTGAAAAAAAATTTTTTTTTTCAAGAAATTTTGAAAATTTATCTAGAAATTTGAAATAAATCTTTTTACAATATTTCGCAGTTCAAAATATTATAATTATTATAAGCATAATTCATTTAGCGAGAGAATTAAAGTCTTAAAGCGCTAGCAACTCAAGGCTATCGGCTTTTTTAAAAACTCTACCGCGCTTGAGATTTGAGCTTTGAGTTGTTACTCGAGATCCTTTGCAAAAATAAGAGTTTATCAACGAGCTTACATGTTACTTTTAATACACATTTCCGAGAATTATGGCAGTTTCCGTCGTAGTGTCCGCGAGTCGTGGTGTCCACAAGTTAGAATAGGGAAAGTGAAAATTAAGATAAAAAGATGAAAAGATAAACTTATTTCATATGATGATGTTCCACATAACTTTCCTTCTTACTATCTCTCTCTCTCTCTCTCTCTTTCTCTTTCTCTCTGTCTCTCTCTATCTCTCTCTCATAACAGAATATACTGAGCTTTTTTTTTTTTTAATATAAAAAAAATTTTATGACTAATGAAAAATCTTAACTTTTGTTTTAATTTTTTTTTTAAATATATATCCTGCAAAAACTTCGCCAAGGAACCCGAAAGCCTCGCCTCTGTCATATAGCATAAGCACAAAGATTGTATTCAGTTTCTAACACAAATTGTTGACACAACTAAAACTCTTACGCAAATATAAAACAAATAAAAGCACGCATATATAAACACATGCATACAAACTTATATAATTCTACTAACATTTGCGTACATTCTAGAGCAAAGAATTTATTTAAACAGTGATTTAGTTATAGATGAAAACGAATACATACCAGAGTCGACTTATTGTCGGTTAGCTTACGTTACATGCAATTTATATATACGTATGTATGTACCGTACAGTAAGTAAGTATAAGCAAATCTAACTAATGTAATTGCAATGAATTGTAGACAATCAAACAATTATCTAAAGAAATCAATATCAGCTGATTGAAGGAAAGCACTTTTGATTTATTTTTCATGTTTATGCCTTAAAAGCAAAAAAAGAAAAAAAAAAGAAAAAAAAAACCATAAAAAACAAAATGTTTAAACGCGAAAATGTTATATATATCGTTATCGTTGTCGTGAAATCTTTTCTTTGCTTAGGCCGTTTTATCCTCATAATTTTGTAATTCTTTGCGCTTTTTATGTCTCATTTTTAAATTGGTAGCTAAGCGAACCGTACAAAAGTAAATAATTTCAACTATGCTGAGAGTTGAAACGCCCATAAATAGTCCTAACAAACCACCACAATTGGCTAAAAATTCCGTAGTCCCGTATAGTTCAGAGCGTTTAGAGGTAAGAAATTGTGCCTCCTTAAAGAATATTGATAGACGGGTTTTTTTCGCACTAAAAAATATTAATCAATAAAATTAAGAGCATTAATCGATCGATAAATTTAATTACTTTTTTTAATTACCCATATAATTTGTCTTTTTCGTTTGTTTCGCCATTTAATTCGGCTAAGCTTTTGTAATCGTAATCGGATTGTGAGATTTCTGCTTCATATGCGATCGAAGTGCAAGCGGGTAAACAGTTACAAGTGGTTGCTGCACGATAGCTACTGGTGGCAGCTGCGACTCCTTGTTTAAATTCCTTTAAAGCCAATTTATCTTCAGCCTCATAAAGGCATGGTATTTTTTTTGGACCGCAAACTGGCACAGTAGTATTTCCTGTTTTTTTTTTGAAAATTTACTCTTAGGAGATTTCGTAATATTAAGTGAAATTTAACTTACTGGGCATTGAATATTTAACGCAACCACATTCAGTTAAGGTAAAATTGGCTAAACACTCCAATTCGCAATTGTTTTGGCTATAAATCTGAAAATAACGTAACTCGCGCTCCTTCTGGAAATAGCATTGACGCCTTAACGAGATAATGAGGAGAAAACTTAATTGAAAAAAAATGTTTATAAAAGTTTATAGTCAGGCAAGGCCGATCATTAAATACCCCATAGCACTTTGCTTTGTTGCCATAAAACGGTCTACTTAGCATCGGATGCCCTATATGTTGACGACTTTTTCAAAGTAGAGCTTTACATGAGAAGTGAGTAAGACGGGCGGACATGCTTAAGTCCGAGAAAATAGAATTGAATTGTTTTTTAGATTTTGCTTACATTCACATATACATTCAAATATACATTTGCGGCAAGTGGTGTAGGGTATACATTTTTAAGTCATGTCTTGTTTAGTTTACTTATTGGGCTCGTAGTGCTTTAGGCCAACAGAAGTGGTTATTATTTTGGGTTTTATAGAGATCAATATCTCTTGATCGAACGGTATGCGAAAAAAACGCTTCCCCATCAAAGGCAATTCACCCGGTGTCTGCAGTAAAATCTATTTAAAATATATGTGACTTTAACCCAAATTTTAATCTCTTCAATGACGATGTTATACCTTAAATCCCTGGATAGGACCACGACATAAGTTGTCGAAATCCTTTTCGTAGCCATTTAATAATAATTCTAAGCCAGCCTTGGTACCCGGTCCCAATACTCTTTTCGGATACGTACTTGCTTGGGCGGCAGAACTGTAACCGTCCTCCACATTCCAATCGGTAGCCGTACGATTTTCGATATGAAGCATTAGTTCGGGTAATAAGCTGACAACGTTTTATAATAAGGGAATAACAAATACAATATCCATTTATCTCATTCTCACTCACCTTTCTTGACGATAAATTTCCTCAAGACTTAACGAATTAAAGCTATAGCACATGCCATCGTCCGTTATAAATTTACTAAACATATTAGCACAGTTTTGAAGCGAGTTACGCCATTTACATCTCAAAAACGTTTCACGAAAAGCTGGCATTATTTGCGATAGTCTTGTTATGATATCGATACCTTTAGCATAGTCAGCATCAGCTTTACTCCGTTGTATTATGTGATGGTCACATACTTGTGATAGTACATAAAAATTTGCTAATCTATCATAGTAAGGCATGGTAGGTAGGAGTATGAGTACATTTTTTAGTATTGTTTTTTGTCTCAAGCACTACTTACTCCTCGTTTGTAGGATATTCGTGAGTGATATTACTATGGAAGTCTTTCAATTTCCAAAATGCATCGGTATAATTGAAAATTGTTTGTGGCGCTTTATTTTCTGGGCAAATCGTTATAGTAGGGAATGGTATCTCCCATACCGGTGTAGATTTCTCCGCAAAACTTACTATAACCGGATTATAATTCCATTTATACCAGATATTCATAATCAAGGCAGCACAAGTGTAAATTGAAACACCAAACACAATTATCCAGAAAATTCTTTAAAGCAGAAAATGAATCAACAAATCATGTGGTTTCCAACACCTTTGAGTTTCCTAAACACTGAATATATTCGCTCACCTTTCCCACCATGGTCTTTTGTGTTCTCCCAAATATTTCATGCCATGTATTGTGCTATGGTCACAATATTCAGAGAGTATAGCCCAGGCTGCCTGCGAAGGTTTACCGTATTTAATTTGCTGCTTTGTATCCACATCATCGTTGTCACTATCAATGGATATAGTTTCCTTGAAAGCTGTAATCGTTTTAGTCATCAAAGCTGCACGCTTCCTAATTTAATAAGACGCACATCCACAATCCGAATAAATCCCATTTTAGCTCTTTTTTTTTTTTTTTTTTCTTTTTTGCTTTTTTTGCTCTTTTTCGAAAATTTTATCACAATAAGAAAAATTATACTAACCATTGTAATGGTTGTGCTTGCACGGAATTCTGCGAAGGTCTTGTTTCCCATTTTTGTACGTCATTACCTTCCATCGTCACTAGTATCGTGTGATGTTGTTTTTCTTTTTGCGTTGCGCTCAATATATCTTTTTAGCTCAACCGTTTCTCAACTATTACTATAAACTTATACGAACTATTCAAACACTTTTTATACAAAAAATTTTAAGTAACGAGGTGTGTCGTCTTACATGACATTAATGAAAAAACATACATACTTACTTGCTTACTTGCTTGTATGTATATAGAAAAGGAACGACACCTTAGGGATTCCTTGAATATACTTAATGTCGACCGAATTCGTGGAAACCTAGCGAAAATAGTTTGATTATTTTTGTATTCGTACTTGTTACAGGCCCGTAATAGATTCGCATTGAAACTTAAAACTCTGAAATAATTAATTCTTTAAATCCTAATAGAGAAAGACGGGAGACAGTTGTCAAGGATTTTATAGGAGCCGAGTAGAAATAAAATTTTGTTATTATTTAATAAAATTTTGTTTACGCAAACATTTTTCAAAAAAATTTTTACAAAAACTTTCTCTGCAATATTTGGAGGTATTAAAGGATTCAACGAGTATCACTCAAGTCAATGAATTCCCTAACGATTCCTGGAGTTTCGGATCTGTTAAGTTTGTACGGATCTATGTAACTCCCAGAAGGGCTTGAGAAGGGATATTATTCTTGTCGAGATGATTTCCAATCGATCTAAGCTTCTTTGTCCGTCCGTCCGTCCATCCGTTTGTCTATCAACGTGCAGGCCGTAGGTTTTGAGATATTTTAATACAATTTGGAGCAGTGACGTCTTTTGATCTAAAGACGGCCGCTATTCAAAATGGTTCAGATCGGACCATTTTTTCGACCACTTACCCTATAATGCTTTATTTTGAAGTCGGTATATCGATAACTGTGGTGGGCCGTGTCTCACTATAGTGCTTTTACTTGATTTTAGACGAATTTGTTTTTATACCCTACACCGTAAACGACAACAATGTATTACATTTGTGCGTACGTAAAACGAAAGATTTAAAATGGATCCATCTTTTATTATACTAATCGATTGCGAATCAGTTTATAAATGAATTCAGGCATATAACAAACGTCCGTCTATTTTTGGTTGTAATTGTCAAGAGATACTAATAAAAATTGATACGTTGCGATTTTATGGGCGAAGGGTTTTCTTTACAGCCACTGCCCACTTATAAAGTTTTACTTTGAAAGCTTCGCAATGAAAACAAAAAAAAAAAAAAGTTATATGAAAGGACTTAAGGTTTTTTAAAATTTGCCAACAAAAATCGTTGACATACATACAAAGATAGCATTTCGGTATACTTAACGAACGGGGGCAATAGGAATGAAACGGAACTATTTTCGAAACGAAATCAAACGTTTATATAACATCAAATCCGCCTGAGTAGCTGAAGGCGAGGAATCTCGACTAGCAAGTCAATGGTCGTGGGTTCGAATCTCAAGTGCGGTAGAGTTTTTAATAATAAAAGCCGATAGCCTTAGATGCTAGTGCTTTTAAGAGTTTAGTCTTAGAATTTATTTCTCTGGTGAAATTAATAATAATAATAATAATAATAATAATAATATATGACATCAAAGTGAAAATTTTTGGTATATCATCATGAATGTTGATACAAAATAGTAATATGACCGATAAATTTATAATACAAAGTTAGAAGTACATAGGTATATTCCTTGGATCTCATGCCATATAATAGTACTGATGAAAATGCAGTTTTTATATGTGAAAGATAGACGGATTATTATTTTAAACGATGCGGTGTAAGACACTCAATAGTCACCCTTTTCCAGGTAACTACATTTTAGATGGTTACATTCGCATTTCAGAAGTTTGTCTGAAAGACATACATATTTATTTATTTGTTATTTTTGTAAGTTTCAACGAGAATTTCTTAAAATTAAAATATGAGTGAGTTTTTTTGATGTCGCAACTTCTGATGATCAATTAATTCAATTAATTTGTACCGAGCGAAGAGTGAAAAGATCTTCACGTTCAAATGCAATAAATGAGCTTTTAGAGGTATTTAGCTTTTGTTTCCATCAAACTAAGCTAATCGTTGACGGAATCGCAAACTGTTTTATATCACAAATTTCGATTACTATATAGATTGAATGACGTATCTGACCAATTCTGGTTGCCATCACAACTTGACGCCATTACAATATATTTATAATGTTTAAAAACAAAAAATTTATATTTAATTTATAATAGAACGCACCTTCTATACTCATTGCATAAACATTTTGATTATCTCAGCGACAGAAGGTTAATTATGATTGTATGAGAGTATGGTCATCGCTGTCCTTTATGCCTGTGTGTATATGTAACATTGTAATATGGAATATAAGGTCAGCACTAAAAATACTTGGTGATATAAAATTTCAACAATGTTCAAGGAATGTTTGCAATGATTGCTTTAAACAGCAATTGTCCGTAAGCTGAACCCGCAAACAGCTACTGCAATGTTCATATTTACGTAGGCTTAACAAGTAGTAGAAATGTTGAGCAGGACCCGGACAGACAAAACCGCCAGTTAACCGAAACTGTAACAAGCAATTGTAGAAAGTTGTAACAACGTATTTTTAAAAGGACGTTTGCGAGCGCATGTATTGCATGAAGCAAGAATAGCAATAAGAAAAAAAATTCCATTGCTTTGAATAGGTCGGATACGTTAAACAAATGCAAACAGACGTTGGCACTTTAAAATTCAAAGTAATGCATGTCTCGTAATTGGTTGAGCGAATTTTCATACATTTACAAGAAAAAAAAAAAAAAAAAAAAATTAAAAAAAATATATTTTTATGCACATAAACCTGTGAAAATATTATTCGAGCGAATTTTGGATATCTAATGTGTAAAGAAATCCTGTGAAAATGAGAATTTTTATTTAATTGAGGGCAAGTCGGTCGTCCAATATGTAATTGTGTCGTACCAGTGTCGTAATGGCCGGACCCCCAGTCGAAGGTTGCACCATTTAAACTTTAATTATATCCGAAAGTTGAGATAATCAAAGCCTAGTCTATGGTAAGCGAAACAACTGCCGTTGTTGATAAACGATAAATTCTTTCAATGAGATTTCTTTAAATAATTTCTTTACATATGCGTTTCGATAAGAATCTCTTGGTGCTCCTTGGTGCTGCTAAAAGTCAGGAAGTGACGTGGATCATTCCGATAATCATTAGATCGAGAATGCATCATAATGTTTTAATGGTAAAATTCATTTATCTATCCAACTAAGAGCTTATGCATATAATTTTTTCATTGTGAATTTATTGCCTAAACGGAAAAGAAACTTCAAGATGTAAGAGGCAAGTCCTGTACAAACGACAAACGTATGTAATTCTTAAAGAGATTAACAAATGTGTTACGGCGATTATTGGTCTGATATGCAAATGGATAGTCGCTCAACGTCGTATCTCCGTCCCAAGATACTTTATTGTTTTCTTATGACATGACTGTGAGGCACATGGTGGATATAATAATACACGTGAGATATTTATTATGATTAACATCAAATTCACAAGTATATTTTGTTCCTTTAGCATTAGTCGCTAATGAAAGTAAAGTAATAGGAACAAATCAAAAAACCAAAGTTCAAAATTGAAGCAAACCTTTCGGGCTTATCTTCGTAAGATTACGGTTAATTATTGGCCAATTATACACAAAATTTTCGTTTTAATTTTCAAGTTACTTCAGTTTAGCAACGATTTCGACTTATCGACTTTTATTGTATGATTTGAAGAAATCTACTGCCGAAGCCCATCAAACACTCGTAGAATCTTATGCTCATACTGTTTCCTCATATCCCAATTGTCGGATTTGGTTTCAACGATGCAAAAGTGACGATTTTAATTTCAATGACAAATGAGCGGCCTGGAGGACCATAGAAATTCGAACACAATGAGTTGCAAGACTTATTGAGCGAAGACACGCAGTTCAAATTATCAAAGAACTTTCGAACAGCTGAACAGTTGATGAATCAAGTATTTCTAGTCATTCACATGCAATGGGAAAGATTCCAAAGGAGAGAAAATGGCTATCCTACGAATACACTGAAAATGCCATTTCGAACCGAAGAAAAACTTTCTAAGGCGTGCGAGGACTGGCGATGAAAACTGAATGTACTACGACAATCTGAAGCGTAAAAAGTTATGGGTTGCTCGAGCAGAGCTATGCACATCGACTTCGTAGTATAACATTCGTGGCCATAAAGTTGTGCTGTGCATACGGTAGAATCAGCAAGGTGTAGTTTGTGACAGCTAAGCTGTTAAGATCGAATGAAACTGTTACTTCCGTTTGTCGATTGTATTGTTCCAAATAGGTTCGGCTATAGCAGTTAGCAGACGCAAGGTCATCCTTTTGCATGACACCGCAAGAATTGTGAAACATACCCTGTTGCACCGAACATAGCACCGTCTGATTACCACCTGTTCAGATAGATGTGAAATGGCTTGGATGGCACGCGGTTCCGAAATGCTGAAGAAGTGCTAAAATGGGCCAATGATTAGATTGTTCCCCGAACCAATAACGTTCTTTCGACACGATATCGCCTTGTTGTCAGAGAGATAAGCAAAAGTTATATAAAATAATTGAAAATATTTTAATTCATAAATATATTGTATTATTATTAATCAATGATCAAAATACATGCAAGAGCCTTATATATATTCAAATACCGAGATTTAATATCCCATGCATGTGTTTGTTCGGATACACGGTTGACAAGAGACCAAACGCATATGCTCAGTCGAATTGTGTTCATTATTGTAACAAAGTTTTTATTTGGTGTGGCCTGGAAACATGTTCTACGTATCTATCTATCTATCTATCTATCTTTCTGCTAGTATACCTTTAGACGTGAAACTACAAAAGTATAACATAGCTAACATAGCTAAGTTTACTAAAGTAAACTTTTGACTGGTGCTTGTATTGTGTATACTTGCGCACACATATATATTGTTTAAGATAACATTGGACTTGACTCTTTTAATGGTTAATAGTAAATT